AGTTGTGCGATTTTTTACAAAAACTTTTTTACAAGCAAAAAGATATTTGGATTCATACGCAAATGTAAAACCTGTCTCGGTATAAATTAGTGGTGTTATTTAGCAAAATGGATACATGTTCGTGTACAGTTATCCTAGGTTTCTATGTTACTATTGAAATATATTTTAAGAGCTTCTTTGATTAAAAATTAACGTCAGCTTCGTGAGCGAGTTACGCGCACTGACATAAGAATCATGCAAACCTCCGACCATCTAACATGGCAATCCTAAAGCGATACATTTTGGTAATAATTATAAATTATTAAACAAAAAAAAAACTAAATCAGTTGTTGGTTATCGCTGTAAAAATAAGGAACGACACTTTAAGGTAACATCAAGCTGCCGGTAGAATAACTGTGTCCCAAGAAAGGCTCAGCCAATAATGTAGGAACCCTTAATAAACTGTCGTTGCAATCAACGAGATCGGTCCGTTTGTTTCAATTTTCTGGAAACTGTTAAAAAAGCAAGACTATACACATCCATAAATACATTCAATGACGTTTTCTTTCTTTCCTTCACATATAAGGTACTAGTTCCCGTATTCTATTTAGAATATGGAAACAGGTGCACATCTATAAAAACAATTATTACAATGTGAATTACTAAAAAAACGTGGTACCTTCGCCCGCACGCTAAACTAATCGTCGTAGGCTAAAACAGTGGCCCGTTTCATTGAACCATTATCTAAGGAAATAGAGGTACTATGTATTATACCGTAAATGGTGCTTTTGACTTGAACGGCCAAAGCTCTGGTTGAAAAAGAATTGCCATACAGTTTGTGCAAAGAATAAATAAGCATCACTGAGCCACTCTCAGACCTTCCGGAAACCGGTTTCAAGCTAGAAGCGAACAAGAAATAGGTTCGTTAGAAAAGGCGAGACCCCATTTTTAGAAAAAATCTTGTTACGATGTATGCTATGGATTGTATAGGATTCGCGCGTATCTTCGAAGCGTCGTAATCGTTCTAACTTATTGAATTGGAAATATTTTAATCACAGACAATTATAGCCGCGTTAGCGTTTCATCATCACCACACACTGCTGAAATATAGTGTCTCAGTATGAACAGTATAATTTAGCCTCTGCGAAATATTTGTTAGCGCCGACCTCATAGTCAAAAAAATTGTATTAAATCAATGATAGCTCCTATGGGGCCGAAATATTGTCATCTTCTGGGTTTTGCAAACGGTGTCCTATATGCGTGGATACACCCGAGAGCATTCTTACAATCCGAAACAACGTTCGACTGTATTTTGCCAATAACAAATATGTAAATGTCCATTTTTTTTTGTCTCATAGTCGGCTAGTCATCCGATACGGATGTCATAAGTTGTCAGGGAACAAACTTACTTCTTTAGTTGATTATTGGGATTCGGCCGAGACTTCGCCTACTGGCCGTATTGCTTGCTTTCTCGCTTTTTAGAACTGTACTTCATAATGACTGGGGAGTCTCTTCAAACGGCTTCACTACCCCCGCCCGGGCACAGAGGCCATGGATACGGAAGTGGAGCGGCATTTCTTCAATTTACGATATCGGCAACAGCCATCCTCCAGCCTACCCGAGAGCTCGACCGACTGATACCGATCGACCAATTGCGAGAGTGCTGAGCAAAACTGAAGAGGCTTCACGGAAAGGAAGGGCGTTGAACGTCTGCCGAAACTGAGTCTGCGCATGTTTGTGTACGATGTATGTGTGCGTGTGTGCAGGCATGCGTGCGTGTACGTGTGAGGCCGAAGGAGAAACGAGGAACAGATACTGCAAACGAGGCAAAAAGCAAAACCCATATTTGAAGATGTGTACTGCGAGAAAACACAACGACGTGCCCAGAAGCGAAGTGAAGCTCAAGAGGTAAACAGAAATTGCAGATACTGCTACATATAAATATGGAATCTCCATTGTACCATTGCTCTATGTGCGGACGCTAGATACTTATGTTTAGAAGCAACAGAACAAAACTTTCAGAGATTAATTTTCCGATGGACTTAATAGTACGCATGTTCCAGTTCGGGCCAGTCGAAGGTCTGATTTACAATAAGCAGTACCAAAGTTTCCCATCAGTAAATAATAAGGCATCTTAGGATCAAGGGGTAATAGGATCAAGGGCGCCGAATGACCTAAAAAGGACAGCGCAGGTAAGCTAGCTTTTAAAAACATTGGACGACTGCAAAAAACTCGAGTTCCTAGAACAGAAAATCCAGATAGTAATAATGTCTTCTTAATTATGAAACAACAACCGTTTGTCCTTGATCGCCTATTGAATAGCAGAAACGAAAATCTCGCCATGCAAAGGCAGTATTGTCATTACTCGCCAATACCTGTATGCTTATTATTCGCGACAAAAATCGTGTCTTTTCAGGTAGACAGCCTATTGCATTAGGCCCTAATTTGCAGTTGTCAGGAATATTTGCCGTACCAATAATTTCAAACAACAGACAGTCACTGTATTCAGCATCATGCCAGCCAGCCCGCTCTGTTCCTGTCGGATTGGCTGTCTTATCGGTCTGTCTGATGCGTCACTTTTCAATGAGTTTTTGAAGTTGCATCTGTAGGAGTTGCACCATCAGCGGCAACGATGATCCAACCTAGGCTACGCATAGTGCCCAAGGCACCGAGGAAAATCGGACCGCTCGTCAAAGGCTCTAGTGTATTGTCGACTAAGATAGGGGGACACCCCTGCGTCAGTGTATCTTCGTAGCATCATCATAAGCTCCGCATGCTTTCTCGCGCTGGCTCTGCGATAACGCGGAGAAGGAGCATTAGAAACATAGAAGCGGAGATGTAGACAAACCCATTTAGGGGGATAGTTGTTTGAGCAGGGGAAGACCCGCTGTCGGCCTATGAACACGACTTGACCCTACAAACGGGCGATACCAAGCGACTTCATTGTCAAAAGGGGGAAGACAGCTTATTTGGTGCCGGGAACGAAGAGCTGAAGGCGACTGACGAAAATGGGGGGAACAAGTAACAGACGAAGGTGTAGAGGACTGAAACGAGGAAGTCATCACTGCTGCCATCGCCGTTGTCAGTCTGAGCTCGTTGGCCGAGCTGTGTTCCAGGAACTTCACGGCCCAAAAGTGTCTGAGGGGCAGATAAAATGAAGAAAAGCGGCGTAAGAGAATAAACGAAAGCTAAGCTGGCTAGCGTAGGGAGTGTATGAAAACGAACGCAATCGCGGCGGCATTCGCTGGTCCGATGCTATCCGGCGCGAGGACGAGGTCGAAAATGATCATTGTAAATCTGCCGCTGCTGATAATGCTGGTAGTGATGAGAAATATGCGTTTGTTATGGCACTCTGTGTTAGTGCTGTCGTTGCCATTGCTCGCGCTGATGATGCTGCTGGAACAATGATATCGAGACAACGAAAGGCCGCGAGGACGGTGATGATAGCCAGTAGCTAAGTCATCGCCAGAGGCGTTTGCAGACTGTAGACCTCTTTGATACTGCTGCACAAAGGTTGTTCTGTAACTTGTATGCATGAAGCATAGTTTTCTGTTAGTCACAGCTTAAGTGCGGCGTTTTGGTCGGGGCCCTGGCGTTCAGGTATAGAGACGGTAAATACCGCTGTATTAACACCATATTTACGAGAAGCTCTATGGAGGTAAAGTCTGACAATGCTGTGATTAGTGGAACGAAGGCATCTAATTGTGATGAGATTGAATTCAATTAACGGCCTCGTGGTAATGGCGGTTATTGATCTAAGCGATGTTGCACAGGAGGGAGAGGCGTTCCAGGTCAATTACGTTTCAGTGCTTTAACTGTAGGTGTACACATGATACGATTCGATTGATAGTAGTAGTAATAAGCGAATGCATTTATAATTCAATACACCCCTTATTAAGAACACGTACGCACCCCACCTGTGCGCTACTTTCTACCCATATGTCTGGGCCTTTGTATCCGTCGGCCGTCAAATCATTTAGATCGAACTCAGAGCGAAATCGATCTAGGATCAGTGTGGTGTCTACTGACAGGAGCTCGCTAAAAAGGAGAATAAGAAGGATGTAATTGAATTTTCTATGCGTCGAAACGAGGCCGCGTACCACGATATGTGGCAGTCTGGATTGCATGAGAGAAGGCAAGAAGCGAAGTGATTTTTGCTGTCCATATAATGGCAACGATGTCATCGGTGAGATGGGGCTTGCTGGCCGGGGCTTGCGAAAAATGGCAAGGCAAATATCGAATTCGCTAGACGCTGACAAGTATTGAGCGCTCCACTGTAATACAACTGTTGTAATATACGGTGCCGGCAAAAAGTACTGCATGGGGCAACCGCGCCGTAAAGGCAATAATATAAGATTATGCTTGCTACTACAAATTGTCAACTGTTTGAGACTATGAGCGAGGCCTAGTTGTGAGACTGAAGTCAGAGGAATAAACAGGGCAAAAGGAGTCTCAAAGATTTGAAATGGCATACTGCATTATGTCTCAGGGTATTAGCAATCCTGACCGCAAAATAGCGGCTGCAGGATATTTCTGAGACGTTTTTCCGACAATAATTTTTAACTGTAGCTGTTCTCCTGTTCTAGCATTCATCCTATACCATACGCTTATTCGAAATGAATTGAAATTATATGCCAATAAACTTTCTCAACATGCAAGCAATGGCCAAATTTTTAGTTGACCTATATCCAATTTTCATGGAACGGTCGTTTTTTCAGGGATCTATTCACTCTTCATATAATAAGGCACCGTATCTGATCAAAGCGATCCCTACGTATTAAACTACCCTGTATTACTATTTTCGCGATATGTTGTTATGATATGATGAACTATGCTATTTTACACATGGGCATATACATCCTCTCTTCACATATATAGATTATTTTTATCAATAACTAATAAATAAGTAAAAGTAGTCACTCAAGCTCATGTCATATCAGATCATTTCAAAGTCTTCGATCTTTTATTTTGATAGGCTCTTTTGGTTGCTTTTTCTTTATGTATGTATGAACTTCAATTTTTTTTCCTAGTGATCGAATGCATCTGTACTATCAAAGAAACGACCCGCTATCACGGCTCAAGATTCGCCGAGCCGCGATGACCTTGGTCGCGTAGAGGTTCCGGGAACAGTTCGCAGTTACTTCTCTGTCCGTGTCGTTTTTCTGCTTTTCGGCGGTAGATTTCCTGATCTCGCTTTAGCTGATCCGATATTTCGTCGTTTTTTTTGTCTTCTTCCAGCGGACGCCCGTGCTGAAGCAGAAGCTGAATCGACGGTCAGTCGCATCCTCTCACGAAGACGATGGGGACTGTTGTGATTCGCCGGATGAACGCCGCCAGTGAAGCACTTAATGGAATCGATCGCAGACGAGTAGGACGAAACCTGTCAGCTGTATGTACACATACGTAAGATGAGAGCACAGCGATTGCTCAACCTGGTTCTTCGAAGCAGACTTTTTGTTATAAAAACTGCTAGCAATTGGGTAGTACGAAGCGACAACAGCGTTGAAAGAGATAGAGCAATAAAACTGTTCTGTAGCAGGCTTTCGTAAACGCTTAGCGGTAAGGACAGGGTTTGATGAGCGGCCTACGAACTAAGCAGATTGTTTGAAATTAAAATAATTTCAAGTGGTAGAATTTGTTGAAAATAGCGGACAGCGTTAACTTTGGTCTAACAATTTGGCGAGCGTTCTTCAGTTATATTTTTTTTTAGATTTTACACTGTAAAGTCTTCATACTGCGCGGGCAAATGTACACACATAGAACATGGAGCCAATGGCCTGATAAGGCCATAATTCGTCCGGGAATAAGTCAAGGTCAGGTATTGTCCTCTCGTAAAGAAGAGCCTGCAGCCATAACTTGAACCGTTTTTTCAACAGGATCTTCCCAATTAAAATTATACCTTTCTGAACGGAATCTCCATATGATAGTGTGCTTGTTCGGTAGAGCGTTCGTGTTTCACTCTGTGTTGGTGAATGTCTGTTTACCGGTGAAAGAGACTGGCGCAGGTCTACTCGTCGTTCAATGGCTACATGCCGCTGACCTGAGTCCACAGGTATCTGTCCCTGAGGCGCGTCTAGCGTCACATCCCACTGACCTACATTTTCTGTTGACAACCGTGCGTTAAATGAATGTTTCGAACTGAAAGGTGGGAACATTTTCAACGAGACAGCCTCCACTGAGACAGACAGCCTGTTATACTAGAAGAACCAAAACTAACGGGTTCGGACTATGACAAAAAGGTTTTTCGAAACAAGGCCCTCGTCCTATTCAGACGGCTCTACATTGTGATAATAGCAGACACCTAAGTAAACCGGTTACGATCTTAAGCTCTAATGATTACGATTCTCATCAGCTTTTCTAAATGTTTGTATAAAATAGGTTTTCAACTGAGCAGGTGTAATCTGGCTTTAACGGACAAAGGCAATTGCAGCATTCATTTAATATGACGCATATGAACGAGGTCCATGTGGGATGTATTGATTGCGTAACAGCAGCAAGAAAAAACATAGAAAGAATGGAAATCGAACGGATAGCCTGTCAGTTAGTAAAAGGCTATTTAGATGCGCGCACTCAGACCAGAGTATACGCGAATTTACATCTTAGGTTATCTAACGTAGAAAGGCTATCTCGATACTAGACTGTTTCTAAACATAGTATGAATTTTCTTCTATTCTTAGATATATGCATTTCTTTTGCACCCTATGCATAGAATGTATCATTTCAGAAGTGCGTACACCGCTTAGCCGGATAGATACACGTATGTCACGTATTTTACATGTGGGTACATTTGCTTCAAGTTCTGACTAGAGTACATTTAGTGTGGGGGAAATTCTTGTACTCTGGTTGTAGGCAAGATCCAATTAGTAAATATGAAGCACTATTCATTCGTATGAAGTCCACAAACGTTCTGCAGCATGTTCTCTATCGCACCGATATTTAGAGATTATTCGTTAAATTTTTTTAGAAAAAAGTCCTAGGAATACGACATTTTTGTTACTAAAAATTAAGACATTGAGCAACTATAGCAAACTACACCGACTGTGGGCCAGCGATCGTTGTAAAAGGGGACGTTTGCATCGATGCAGAAAGAGTCGGTCGCCAAAACGAATAGCGTCGTCTTTGTTGTCTAGCGAGGAAGCATGGAGATATCACAAAAGCTCTTTAGGTGGAAGAAGCAGTAAAGAAACGATGGCAAAGAAAGGACGTGACTTCAGGAGAAAACGAAAGTGTTGATCAGAACACAGAGTGTTCGTCTTCGTCGGCGGTACTCGCGATAATGCTAAATGGTGAATTCGGCCGGACCGCTAGGAGGTGGGCGAGCCTAAGAAAAGACATTAGGGCAAACCGGCAGGAGGTCCAGCAGAGCTAGAAGTGAGGAATATGCCAGCAGGAGGAGGAGGAGGAGGAGGATTATGACCAAAGAAGTTTGGGCCAGGGGCTAAAAAACGCAGCACGGATGACGATTGATGTCAACACTTTATGATTCCTGGAAGCCAATTTTGGGTAATACTAGCGCTGCGACATACATACATACATACATACGCGTGCTTAGACACCACGCTGACAGAGAAGAAGGCCTTACCGAGACTTCTACGCACGTCCAATATGCAACGGCGTCGACTCTTATGCTGCTTTTGCCCAGTTTACTGCCTGCCCCGTTTTTGCTGCTTAGAGCTTTACGCGGTGGAGGCTTAGGCGGGTAATTGGCGACCCAATGTCATTTGTGTCCCGTCACTTAGTATCGTCATCTATGCCCGCAGAAGCGCGTCTTGCACACGATGGTTGTGGCTGTACCGTGGCGGAGGGCGCACCAGCTCTATGTGGTGGTTGTTTGCTCACAAGGCAATAGTCATGATGGCTATTTCCTCACAAAGAACAGAAAAGTTTTCCATCTGTTTGCAAACGATATTTCTCGCCCTCCTGTAGGCGACATAGAAATGAACGAGTTTAGCGTCTGCTGAGAAAGGAAAGCCAAACGAACAGACGAGGGTAGACAAAAAGAGAGAAGGTGCCCATGAATGAGCGAATGTTCCTATTGTTTAGATAACTCTGAAAAAGATATGGGCATATGAATATTATAACGAATTTTGCTACTATCTAAAATACAACAGACACGGGGGTATGACAGTTAAACGCTGCATCAAGGCTACATCTGTGTTACTACTGCGATCAGGTCAAACGATGAGAGATGTTATGTCGATTAAGTTAGATATAATCAAACAAAATGCTACAGTGCTATGATATATTTACGCTAATATTTTGAGAGTTCTTAGATCGATTGTTAATTCAGTAGAATTCCTGAATACTGAACATAAATGTATGAAGATCAAGGTTCATAAGGTCTTTATGAGTGTCCTACCAGTGGAAATTATACTTATAGAAATAATCATTTGTAATCCGGAGTCGGAAGGTTCTTGGGGCAACATTGTTGCGATAGGGTGATGCTGCACCGTATTCATCCATTTAGAACGTACGGCTTTAGCTCGCGAAAGCCTTGCGTTTTGAAGTATCTGTAGCTACGCTGCAATATCTGCGTGCACCCGAAGCCATCATCTGACCATTTCCAGCTATAAGCAGTCTGCCTTCACGCGTATATATCACTTATTATTGAGTATCATTTATTGTAGAACATCCTTCGAAGGTCTCTTTCCTCATCCTTTGCCGACAAAGTAGAACACTCTGCCATTAGCTTAATTTTCGGCTAGAATATTGGCTCGAGAGCACTGAAAGCGGCCTATTAAAAATATTCGTATGTGCGGCACCTTCGCGTCTTTTAGGCATCTTTCGACCTTTATATCTAATATGTCAAATATATATAGACCTCTTACGTAGATTGATGAGTCGCTTATGTTGTATGTCACTGTCACAAAGCGTCGAATGCCCGACTAGCTGAGTTACGTTCTAATATAAGGCAGGTAGTAACGACGTTTGGTTGATGATGCTGAGGAAAGCGTCACTTGTATTTCTGCTGCGCCTATGAGACCCAAACAAATCCCAGCCCTAAGATTTGTGAATATTTTCTTAAGACGCCGTACATTGATATATGACGAAAATGTTTTCATTCAAGAAGTTTAGGGTGGTGGGCAAATGCTTTACTTAGGTCTAATATGTGGTAAACGATAAGATGTTTTCGTCACTTGTACAGGCAAAAGAAAGAAAGGGTTGGCCTTTATTTAATTTAATGCGCGCTGTTACAGACACAAACTAACAGCCTTTTCGTCAGAATCTAGAAATTTAGAGCTAAACCTGTATTCAAAGGAGTTAAGAAAATCCTTCAATAATGAATAATGATCATCCATCTCATCGAAAGTTACCGCATCGCGAAGTAGGATATTACAGGTTATTAGTGCCCTTTAGTTGAGCCTATGATACTTCGCCTGAGAATAACGATGTGAATCGATTTCAGTTTGTTATGATAAATTCAACATTATTTGACTACTTTACACAGTGCCGTAAACGCTGCAAGACGCCATGCTTATCCGGCCCTGTGGACCCGTGGTCCAAGGAAGAGACCCAGCCAGTTTGAGGAAAGCCGCGTATCAGCTGGAGGAAAAATAAAAATAAGAGAGCGAAGAAAAATAAAAACAAAATATGACCACCCGAAACTTAATACGAGAGAGCACTCAGTGCGATCGAAAAAAAAAAGGCTGCTGCTTATGACGATTGTATCTACATGGCCATAGGCCCCTCCTGTCGTCTAGCTCATAGCCTCGTTCGACATCCCTCGAGCTTTGCCAGCAGTGCGTTTCGACTGCAACCAACGCTTTTTCTACCAGCTAGTCTGACAGGAACAATGCTTTGGCGGTCACAGATTGCACACAAACACATCTGAAGAAACCAGCGACGGACGGATGACTGAAAGCTTACTCTATCATATTATCAATAGTAGAATTATTTCATTCTACTAATAGCATGTACGCTATCGGCTGTGTGAGATGCGATGATGTATTAGACATTCTCTAGTAACGCATAATAACACCTACAAACACGCTGGGAATATGCCTCGTCACAACCTGGTGCTTCATATGGCTGGATAGCAATTTAACAAGCTGCAATCTTGAAAGCTGAACTCTCGCGGTATAGCGTAAAATATAAGATAGATGTTCATTTTATATCTACGGAGAGAGAGAGAGAGAGAGAGAGAGAGAGAGAGAGAGAGAGAGAGAGATTTATACACTAGTCTCAGCCCAGTGACGGATACTAGCAGCACGCGTCGTTGGTAAATGCAGGTTGCAGGATGCTGTCTTTAGCGAGACTTCAGGTAAGACGTTTAGCGCACAGCACTACTGTTCAAACCTGTGCCTTCGCTTGCCCTCGTTTGACATCCGCCAGTGAATTCGAAATCTCTAAGGAACGCCGAACCCGCCAGGAGGTCAAGAGATTAAGAGCTCGAGGGTTGGGAATGATGGCAGCGGGGGGGGATGAAGCAAGGGAATTGCGGCAGCAGCGGCTTGCTTAACAGTACGCGGCTGCCGCAATTCCCTCGCTTCCCAAAGCGGCACCGAAACACAACGGAACGCCTTGACAGAGCTCCTTCAAGCGACCGTTCTAATGGGCGAAGTGGAACGGGTTGAAATGAAAGGATCCAAGTGACGGGTTAGTCAAAGCGGAGCAAAACAAGCGGCATCAACCGCACAGCAGTTAACATATAGGAAAGTTTGTGAAAAAATATTAAGATAGAATAAAGGTGCGCCATGAAACATGATGGAAATCAGCATTGCAGAAGATGAAGAACGTCGGCCTAAGCCGCATAGGCAGCCGACAGTAAAGAGAGGTTGCATCGTCCTTAGCTTGTACGCACTTCGCACTTCCTTCCTACTTACGGTGAGCAATGTTTCTGGAGTTAGGCACGCGTGCCTCTGCTGGAAAACAGGTGAGCAGTATACGCCGACATCGTTTGCTTTTACCGCTATCTATCCTTTGTAGCAGTTCTAACAGCAAGAAGAAAGTTTATTAGATTTAGACGGCAAGCGACATATATATGAAACAATAGTGAGTTTGTTTTGAATAGCGGAATCTGATTTTATGGAGAGCTTAATATGTAATGAAAATAGCAATTATAATAGGATTCGCGTATATATATATATATATATTATTTATGATAATTAAAAGAAGTACCGTAGATACGTTTCGCCAGAAGCGAACAAATCAAACCCCGAACTATTCAGAGATTAGTTTACATTGGTCAAGTCTGTTGCTGCTAACGCTAAATTTGAAAGAAATCGTCATCACGCCATATGGGCTACTTTAGCTAATTAAGAATGATAACTTAAAGGAACTTGAACTGAATAATGCCAAACCGCTGCTATACGAAACTGTAATCATTCCCCTTTAACGTAAGTAATAACAGCGGCGTAAATATTCGTATCCACCATATTGGTATTATGGCCATCAACAAGATTTCAAGGAAAGTTGTTTCCATTGCACAAAACGTCAACGATTCTCTAATGTGGTAAGGTGCAGTCCGACGCTGTATCGTGTTAAGTTCAGGTGATTTCTTAGTTAAAAGTAACACGAAAACTACGTCAAAGTTACATATCCTTTGAATTCAGAGCACTAGAGTTTTTCGTAAAATATCGCCTGTTTCCCGTTATCGTCGAACGTATAACGAAGCACGATTCGAGAACAGATTAGTCGGTTTCATTCATTTCCCTTTTTTGAAGTAGAATCTTTAGCCGATAATGATGGTCGGGCTTGGCCATTTGAGGCGTAGCTTACCCCTGGATAAAGCAATTCGTAATTTGCTTTTTCAATCACCCACCGTTGTCTTGCGGCGTACCTTTATTTCTCTCTAAAACCATTCTCGATTCGAACTAATTGCCCTGCGGTACAGCAGTTGTACAATGTAGATTTTAATCAAAGCTCAAAAATCGCGTGGCTGAGTTTACACATATTCCAAGTAAACCGGTAGCCGCACAGGCTGAATCGGTGAAGCGCCTGGCTAACGAACAGGGATCCAACAATTAAACCACCCTAAAACCATTATCTTTGCTATTGGCTTTTTAAAACGGCCGTTATGAAGACAAAATTTCGTCATTATGAAGCCTTGAACAACAATTACCCCAGCCAACTTTAGCCGCTATAGCCGGCAACCTGCTACGCTCAGAGAGCCACTGCCTATTCTAGGACATTTATATGCTCAGTTTGCTGGTTGGCTGGCTAACTCACTACCGCCTTAGCTCGTTGAAGGCAGGAGCAGCCCGGACCTCAGCCAACGATCTCTCGGACGTCAAATTCATCGAAGAAATGACTCAACCGGTACTCGCTTGAAATTCGATCATTATATTTTTACGAAACGTCACACAAATGCATTTTCAAATGTCGTGCAAGTAACGAGTAAACCCAAACTCAAAGATATATATCGTCAATAGATTTTCTAAGGTCAAAATAACGTTATGACCAAGAGGTTCAAGCAACTGATACGGAGGGGTTTACACTATCAGGTCAGTGATTCAATTTCAAGTACCAACCAAACGCCTCCATAAACTCTTCCAAGTTTTCCGGCTGTAATTTGTCTTCCATAATTAATGAATTTTTCCGTAAGTTCCATAGGTAATGAATATCCTCATCTCGGTTAGAAACATACCTCTACTAGGCAAATGTGTTCAAAAATGTAATCGGCTACTGCATGACTCTGAAGTAAGCTAAAGATACAATAAAAGTAAGTAAAACGATCGAGTGCTATAGTCATAACACGCGAAGATAACAATGAACTCTATTTTTTGCTCATAGCGTCAGCACGGACGACATACCTATCGCCACAGACGACAGATCATTGACCGACGCTTACGGAAGCGCTTAGGTAAAGTTCAGCTGTTACAGATGCGGCGTGCAATAGCGTAAGAAGGACGACGTGCATTTGTCATCCATCTTTGAGTGCAACATATCCTTTTTGTCATATACGGTACAGTACCTCGTAAACGAAAAAGGGACAGGCCAGCATCGATTCGCAGAGAAAAGAAAGTCGTTGTAGCATTTGACTCGTCGTTTAGTGAACTTTCATGGTTTAATTAAGTTGTACTCCTAGTGCATTGAAATATGCTAACAAGTTACAGAAACGTAATTATCACGTATAGAATAGTTAGGAGGGGCTCTCTTCCGTAAGATGTGGCAAAGCAGCCCATACCTTATGCATCTCTCTATCTAGTCTCAATCACCAATTAAAGCGTCTATTTAATGTAGCCTTACGCGTGATGCTCTCCGTTGAGCCTCGGTGTCTAATTGCCTGCGGCGACGTGTCTTTTAAGGCCTACCTATCCTTCGACTTTACGCACCTAGCAGGACAATGCTTCTACTGAAAGTTAAAGATAAAGGCGAAGATCGTTCAATATGTAATTAACAAGCTTGCTAATTTCCTGCGTTCACCCTGATATTGAACCATGACATACATGGCGATGTTTACCAGGCTGATTTTAACATCGACTTTTATGTTGTGCCTTGATAGAGGCGCCTGTTTCACTGGTAGACGAACTAAGAGCGTTTCGAAACCGCTGACTGGATTGGAACAGCGTCATTTTTGTCCACGGCTAACATATGCTTTAAGTGTTTCATTTGCTAGAACCACGATCTTCTCATCGAGCATGTCAGATATGATTGCCATTGGTACGGGTACAAGAGCCGTTGTGCGAAAATCGAATAGCGCCAACCTTTTTACCTGTTTGATATGTTATACCATTTGTTGTCTTTAAATGTTATACCTGAATGGTCTGCTTTAAAGATAAATATCAAACTTACCTAAAAGCAACATAGTCCAAGTTCTGCAATGATTACAACAACGCCCCATTCTCAACTGATGTCAAGTCATCTGTCAAACATATCTACCTTCAGATTTGAAAATTTCTTCAGGCACATTTCTTCTAATTGACAAACTTACCAGCTGATTACATTGTAGTAAGCGTGTGCGTCTGCTTGACATTTCAGCCTTTGCCGAGAACGAATATATAAAAGCACGGAAACCTACCTAGTAGAATCTGACCCAGTAGGATTGCTATGGCGCTGCATAATAAGTACGCATCAGCGTATATTTATATAGACTCATTCAGACACATAAACGCACCGTTTACAAGTACCAGACCAGACAGCCTGGGCATTCGTTCCCTACCGCGTTACATCACAGAGCAAATGCAACTGGCTCCGCTTGCCCGGGGCACAGAACAATACCACAGTGCAGCGGGGCGCATGGAACGATCGATCGAACTAGTGGACTAGCAAACCGTTTTATAGATCGCCTTAACGTTCTCGCCAAGTTAGGCCGTCTCTTCTCGTTCCCAAAAACCGAAGAAACCGACCTCAAATGAAGCTAAGCAGATTCGCGCACTACTGTGTGCTCAACGGACAAGCTAAATCCACACTGGGTAACGTATGGGTAGTTGGCTAATTAGACAATGAACGTACGGATGTTCGGGCGAGCTGCATCGCAGCGTCCGCATGCTTTACGCCTTGGTCCTGTGGACATCCTCTGTTACTGAAGTTTGTAGCTCAAGGCGGGCAGCAGAGTTCGTTAAGACGAACGCGCATCAGACATCAGAAGGTGCCACCCGGCAAGATTCAACGAGGAAAGACATTGAAGTCAGGGAGAAAAGGGCGCTTACTGATGACGGAGTCTACGAATACTTTACAGCCCTCGCCCAACGGTCGCTCGTAGATGTTGTCGAAAGGTCCGTCATTTAGCTTTAAGACGAAGTCTGGATAAGTGGAAATTGTAATACACTAACTATAGAAACTAGTAGTGGTACATCGTATAATATACTAAAAACATAGTAAATGTTAGGCGGGCGAGAGGCCATTGATATGTTATGTGAGATGAGCTCTACTTTATCTGTCACCCTCACTAACCGACCGAGTTTTCTGACATACTACACAACCTGTTTAGCGCGTTAGATAGTTGGTCATTCGCTCAGGTCGTATTGAAAAGGGTTTTTCTTCACGTTTCTTTTTTGCCTACGGCTCCGCTTGGTTTGCCTAGAGAGGTTCTACAGTACGTCTCCTCCCTTTTCGACCTCAGCGTAGACATCGGTGGCGCGAAACCACTGTGGCCTGACAACTAACGGTCGACGTGAGAAGAAAACGTAAGACTGAATACGTAAAAGCCAGAAAAAAAACTATTGAACAAGACACACACATCGGGTGGGCCTACGAAATCGTTTTCTTAACACGTTTGGCCTTTTGACCGATACCTACAAGGAGACAAAGTACTTCTGCTGAAGGAAAAACGAAAAGAAGGAAAGGGCCGAAACGTTCAGACGATTGGACCACAATAGTAGCATGTAAGCAGAACAGCAGCAATGTACACAAGCTTTAATACCAGCCCATACTCAAACAGACAGCAAAGATCCCCGGGTATTCAGGCCGGTAAACCTCCACCGCAGCTCTTATTTAGCAATATCGCATGAACTGGAGGTCATGAAAAAAGTTAGGCGTATTTCCACTAAACACCGCCTATATAATTAGCTAGCATGAACACGTACTCCATTACATAAAGTAGCATAAAGGTGTGATCTTTTTATTCGCTAGTTTATACTTTCATTCTTGTCTCTCCATAATATCGTTTTCAACTGAGGTTGATATAGAATAGGTCTACAGCTTTCACGCCCTTGTCCTTAGCTTTTAGGCCCTCTGCTTTACTAGCACACTCGATAGTCGGCTTAGGTTAAGTTAGACTACTTTAAGGATCAGAGGAGTTACGCAGGACTGCATTACTTTAAGGATTTGTGGATTGGTTACTACGATTATAGCTGATGCTGTTTTTGCTGTAACTGCTTCGGGTTCCCCAAGAGCCTTGTCATGATAACAAAATTCGCTCATCTACGTGCAGACGTCTGCGTGGGGGGGGAGAGGCAACGTTCAGCTATGTCTCAGACTTTGACTCTAGGTCCACGCTACTTCGAGCATTACTCATCGTTTCTGTTCGACGTCGATATGCTTAGAAGCC